GCCTATGGCTTTACAAATGCTTTGGAGTTAGTTATAATTAACTCAAGCTTTCATAAGAGGGGGGAGCATTTGGACTTTTCATAGTGCGGTGGCTAAGATTGAGATAGCCTTAAGAAAGGAGATAGCCGTTTTTTGCAAAGGGGGCATCATGGTTATCTTGAGTGAGGATCTTTTAACCCAACACAAGCTTTTAGTCTTGAAGTTAAAGAATAAGTTAATGAAGAAAAAATAGAATGAAAAGTTGGTGTATATGTGGTATAAAGGAGTAGCGGAGACACTGATAATGTAAGAAACCTTATAGCTCAGTACATCAAGGAAGCTTCTAGAGAGGTCTTAATTGGTTTGAGGGGGCAAGTCTGGTAGATGTGTGGGAATGGATGAGTGGTGATGGAAAAAAGAGGTGCAAGAAAAAGTGAAAGCTAAGAAGGTCACGCATGAGTCATTGGTGGATTGCGTAAACGAAGAGGATTAGGGGAGAAAATAAGAAACCCAAGGAATGTAAGAGAAAAGCAAAGCTAGTGGTCTTGATGACCAGAATAGTTGCCTTTGAGCAGTTGTATGAAAAGCTTTAATGAAGGGGGAAGTAGAGAGTTGTATAGGCTTTCCAAAACAAAAGAGAAAAATTCCCGTGGTGTGGACCAAATGAAATCCATGAGGAATGAAAATGGTTTAATGTTTGTATTAGACGCAAATGGAAGACATAGTTTCATAAGCTCTTCATTGAATGATAAGGATATTTTGCTCGAGGAACTGGCGTTGTTCAGAAGTCATAGAGATTTTTGTTATTGTAGGTGTATAAAGACTTAGAGGTTAGGGGGCATTTCGTACCACGGGGAAGGGAAGAGAGACCGGGCATATGAGATCATAACAGATCTTTGGAAGGATATAGGGGAGAGAAGAATCAAGTGATTAAGGATAATGTTCAATGTCATTTTCAGAATGACGAGGTTCCCAGAGGAGTGGAGGTGTTTTACAATGGTCCTGTTGTATAAGAAAATGGGTAATGTTCAAAACTGCAACAATTATAGGGGTGCCAAACTAGTAAGTCACACTAGAAAAGTGTAAGAGAGTGTGGTTGGCAAAACATTGAGGAGGAATGTGTCGATAATCTGTGAACCAATTTGGATTTATGTTAAGCCTTTCAACTATAGAAGTTATTCATCTTGTTAAGAGGCTAATATAGCAATATTGTGACAAGAAAAAAGGACTTACACGGTGTTCATTGACCTTCGGATAGAGTATTAAGAACTCCAAAGGGAAGTCCCTTTGGAGATGTTTGGAATGGAGGGTTGTGGGTGTAGCCTACATTAGAGGAAATAAGGACATGTATGAGGACATCAAGACATGAGTAACTTGAGTTACATCAATGAGAGGGGACTCTGAACAGTTCGTTATATTGGTGGGGTTGCATCGAGGATCAACTCTTAGCCCATCTTCATTTTCCATAGTGATGTTCAAGTTGACTTGCCATATTTAGTAGGTTGTTGTTTAGACTTTTCGCTCCATTTTCAGAGGTTGGGCTAGCCCTTCCATCTCATTTTCACGTGCTTAGTAGTTTTAGGGCTTGCATAGATGTTGCTTCTTATGCATAGTTTTGAAAGGCGTTCACCTCTCTCACCTAAGGCACCCGGGCGAGCACTCAACGCCACAAGGGAGCCAAGCGAGGCCACATCCCTAAGGCAGTCACCTTTCTCGTCTCATTTGCTGCCTCAGCCAGTCGCCCCTCTCACCTTCCATCTGATCGTTGTTTGGCTATCAACTAGTCTAGAAGATGACGGCTAATCTAAACCATGGCAGTCCCGAGTCGACCCATATTTGATTTAAATCTTGAAAAGGAAAGACAATTTTATATTATATACTCCCTTTGTCCCAAGATTTTATGAAGAGAATATAGTTTGACCTGTGAATTTTGAAGCGAACAATTAAAAGGGACATGGGATTTGGTACAAAAAAATAGTCAAGGGACTCCTCGTTTTATATCATTTTTTTGTAATTTTAAAATTTTCAATTTTATTTTTTAACTTTTACACCGATATTAAATAAATTGAAATGAAAATAAATTTAGTCAAACATCGTAAACTGAAACATGACAAATAAAAAGGAACAGAGGGATTGTTAGGAAAGATAAAATCATGACAAGAAAGAATAGCTGTTTAGAGTTAGGCCATGAATGAAAAAACAAGCCTTTTAGATTTGGCTATTTCTAGAAAAACTTGCAAGTATATCAGAGACTCATGGTTGCCCTATCCCTGTGAATGTGGTTTCTGTGAATTCCTCCAATAGCAGACAGTTCATTTTAGTGTTCTTGAGCTGATTTTAAGTTTTAAACCATTCTATTACTAATTTACTATTGACTCACAATCCACATTGCAATTTGCTATCAGGCAATCCAAGTTAGTGAAGAGCTGGGGAAGTTGATATTTTCTGAAAAGGAAGCAATGTGGGCAAAGTTTTCTAGTCAAATAAAAATAGGTGCTATTTTTGAAGGAAGAGTGCGCTTTGTTGAGGATTTTGGTGCTTTAGTTGGCCTAAGATTTCCTGATGGTATGAATCTTGAAGCATACTCCACTAACTCATGATCATTTAATTTCTCCCTTCATTGATAGTCCCTCTGTTTCTATTAATCTTTCTAGCTCAACCAAATAAAATAGTTTAAGAAAATGTATTGGGATGATAAATTGATCATAAAGTATAGAGAATCGTCTAAAATACTACAAACGGGTAAAATAAATTGTATATTGGGGAAGATTGTTAATGTGCATAGGTTTTATAAATGGCAGATTAAAAGAAAAGTGGCCACTCTAGACAGATACATAGGAACATAGAAATAAACAGAGTATCATCTTTTTCTGACATTTCACAGATCAGGTTGTATTTCTCTCCTTTTCAATAAAGGGCTTCATAAACCTTCTTCTACAGTTATGGTATTTAAGTAAAGGGATCACAAAGGGCTCTTTTGAAAGTGTGTGCATTGATTGTTTCTTCTAGGAATTTAATTACCGACTTTCTTCAAGTAAGAGAGGTTTCTCATTACCTAATTAGAAAGTATTATAAACTCTGGTCCAGGGTTCTACCATCTTGCTGGCTTTGTTCATGCCTCGGAAGTGTCATGGGATACCATTCATGATGCAAGAGATGTTTTAACAAAGGGTGATGTAGTGAGGGTCAAAGTTATTAAGATAGATAGGTGATTAACAGTACTAATATACTTTATGTTCATCTCAATCTCAAATTCCATCTTTTTTGGCTGACAATATATAAAAATATGTCCAGTGAAAAATCAAGGATTTCCCTTTCCATTAAACAATTAGAGGATGATCCGTTGCTTGAAACACTAGACAAAGTAATTCCCCAGGTGCGAGGCTAACAACTTTCTTCATGTGTTTTTCTCGTAATGATTTTTTTAAATGTTTTCTTGTCAGATGTATTTGTGTGTTGTTGCGATTGATCATGATGGTGAGTAATCTTTCAGATCTTCACAGGATTCTTCGCTGTATCCCAGCACCTTGAGTCCAAAGGATAGTGTTCATATTGAACCGCTTCCCGGGATTGGAACAATCATTGAAGAGCTCATGCAAGAAGATGGGTATGTACATTAACTTTTACTATTGGTTGAATGTTTGAACTTTTGTTTTTGTAATTGGGATTTGGGACTTCCAGCATATCATGTAGTGATATATTTTCTCCCTGTCTCCAAAAGAAATTCATGGTCTGACTTCACTATTTAAGGAAAGTAAAAGTTAATGGTTGGAATTTTTTTAAAAAGAGAAATATTTTAAACAACATATTCATATCCTTAAAACGAAAGGAGAGAAGTGTGAATTTTATTTTGGGACAAACAAAAAAAGAGAGTGAACTTCTTTTGGGGACAGGGAGTATTGATATTTATAATATGCAAGTGTATTTGATATCTTTAGCTATTTATGTGTTTGGAATTTGGATAGCTGTTCTAAAAAGAATTAAAACAATATTTTTGTAAACCAAGCTTGAAAACACCTGCTCTAAACAGTATCTCAAAAACCTTTTAAAACATCTTTTTTTGGGTGAAGTAGCTTTCTTTACTACAAAGTTTTAACCAAACACCTCCAATAGATGTCCTTTATAGCACCCCCACCCCACCCAGAAAAAGCTCTTTGCCAAACACCCCTTTGTAGTCCTTGAATATCAAGAAATTCAGATGTTGAAAAAGTACAGTTGTCACAGACATTATTCGTGTATTGCATTTATAAATATAATAAATGTCCCTCACAAGGTAAGCAATGATGAATGATCTAGTCATGTGCATATGCCCAACAACAACAACAACAACCCAGTTGAATCCCACTACAGTAGGGTCTGGGGAGGGTGTGTGTACGCAGACCTATTTCCATAATGATCTGTTATTCTGTTCACAGTATCCACGATATAAAACTTTGCCGTCAAGGGGTTGAGAAACGCGTCGTTTCACAAGGCCTGCAGCTCTGGATTTCTAATGTACGTTTCTTCCATTTCTAGAGTTCGTTTCCACGGTCCGTTGTTTTTTCTTTCAATGATGAAATTCCACAGGAACCACAAGTTGGAGAAAAATTCACTATGCTTGCCCGGGCTGGAAGACAGGTATGCACCCCCCCCACCCACCCAAAGGAAAACCTCCCCTTAAATGTCAAATCCCTTGTGATATGTTTCATGCGTATGACAGGTGCAAGAAATACAGCTTACAACGTCCCTAAATCAAGAGGGTATCAAAATGGCGCTGCAGCGGGTGTTGGAGCGCATACGATGATTTGCGATTATGCTCCTTGTTGTCAATGAATGTAACCTCATTCTTTTGCGCGCAATAGCACAAATGCATTCTTGTATCATCGATCACACTCAAAGTGTATGCTTTGATTGCGACAAAGAATAGGTAATGTGGTAAATGTTGAATCGAGTCCCGTTTATGAGTGAATAATATAATACTTATTCTCACCGTCTTCAATTGCACCCCTTAAATTTAGTCGACTTTGGAGTCAATTTGACTTCAAAGTCAACTAAATTTATTCATGTCATGTGAGATTAAGACCCTTGACAACCACCCAAAAACAAGAGACCCTTCAACTACTTTTATTTAACACAAACACATTGCAGAAGAAGTAACTACAACGTGATTTACACTACATTTTTATTCCAGATTGCCCATTTCGAGTACTTTAAAACCCCACATACAGCTCAGAATCAAAATGAAAACACTACACACGCCATGGATTTAGTTGTGAAGCTTAGTTGGAGCTGGCTTAAGGCTCGGCGGTCTCCCCCTTGTCCGCGCAACACCATTTGCACACTCCGTGACTATTCGCGCCACCACAGCAACCAGCATTGCCGCAGCTTCCACTGGGACCGGGCTTGCGGTGGCCGTGGCCATGACTGCCACCTCCGTGGCCACCCCAATGCCCACCATTGTGACCACCTTTATGTCCACCCCAATGCCCACCATTGTGACCACCTTTATGTCCCCAAGAATGGCCATAGCTTTCCGCTAGTCAAGATTGGAAAAATAAAAATAAAGTTGGCACATTTTTAGTGCTTCCAAATTTTGACACAGAAAAATTGAAACATCATCCCTTAAAAGAGTCATTTTTCAAATTTAACCCTTCCCATAACAAAGACGAATTTGAATAAAATAAGCCATTTTTAATCACATATTTTTTTAATATTAAATATGATCTTATAAACAATTTTATATATGTGTAAATACTATACATAAATTAAACAAAAATTCTCCCTCCATTAGGAATTAATTATCCACTTCTATTTTTCTTCTTTGGAGTTTTTGGTATTTTTCAAACATTTATCATATTTACTAGACAAATGAGTGTGAATTATCAAACATATCCCTAAAGAGCACATCAATATTTTCATCACACAAGCTCATTTCAAGAATTGTATTACTCCATATCATTTTAGAAAAGTTCACAATTACTTCCAGGCGTAATGGGTAAATCAATCATTGAAATGCCAAGTATGAAGTACTTTGTATTCTCTATGTTATTCAGTACATTCCTGTACAAGGGTTTTGTAGAATTTGACTAATTTTATTTTTAATTTAATTTATTTAACGAATGTTGTAAAATTAAAAACAAAACTATGTTTATTTGAAAATTAAATAAAAATCCAAAAAAAGTAGAATATAATTTGACTATTTATCCTATTAAATCATCAATGAAAATATATAAGATAAAAATTGTAAATTGCTCCTGCTGCTAAATACGTAGTGTTTGTGGCCAAAGACCCTGTGGTCCAACGGCAGCATCATCGTCATTGTCCCAAATGAGAGGTCACGGGTTTAAAATTCAAAGAAGACGGATTTTTATTTATTATTTTTATTTTTTTAGTAGGTTGTGAAAAAATATATTTAAACATATTCTAAATTATAATACTCCATCCGTACCCCAATTATTACATATATATACTCAAACATATTCAAATGCTGATGAAAAACCTTGTACCCTAAACAAGTACTCCGTACTATATAAATTAGATTGAAAATAAAATTTTCTCAATCTAATTTATTTCTCAACTTTGTACCGACTTTATTTTCAATTTAATTTATTTGATTTTAAGTATAAATTTAAAAATAAAATGTATATATACTAAAAATTACATGAAAAGTTTTACAAAACAAGAAGTGTGACAAGACTATATCATTTTATGAAATGAGTAGTAAATTTAAGTAAAAAAAAAGTGAGATAAATTTAACCATGTAAATGAAGTCTTAGAAGATCTATGAAAACTTACTGCCAAATGAAGCTTCAGAAGTGGTCTCAGCCAATTCCCTGGCGGTAACCTCAGAACCAACCAGGAGAAAAACAGCCAAAGAAATGCAAAGAAGAAGAGCCTTTGAACCCATTTTTCTTTTTCCTTTTTTTTCAGAGATCTGTACAAGGAAAAGTTTGGTTGAGTGTGTGGAAAAAGGAGTGATGCCCATTTATATAGGACCATAGAATGTGGGCTGGTCACGTTTATTAGAGCTTGGAGACAGATCTCAATAATGGCTGTGTGGGGCCCTCTCCCCATGGTTTTGGTGATGGTTGTTGAGTTCATGCATTTCTTAACTCTAAGCAATTATAAATTTATAATAGTGATCATCAATATTTTGAAGGGCAGGGGTACACCAACTGTTGGGTTTGGGCTCCCAACTATGTGTCATCTTTAATTTAAAGGCCCAAATATTTTTGGAGGATAAGTCCTCAATTCATTTTTGTCCACATATATTGAGAGTAAAAGTTTGGCAGCTGCATATATTACACACCACTCACGCATAAAAAAGAGGAGAAAAAACAGCCGCAAGAAGGGAGATAGCCGCTGCCATTTTCAGAAAAATGCAGACCTGGTTTTCTTTACGATCGAGGTCCAAATCTTGTCCGATCGAGCTGAAATTTTAGGAGGAGTCTAAGGACTCGTGGAGCTTCAATCTGAACGGTGGAGATCGAATTTCAACAGTTCAATCTCAAGTTATGAGCTTCGCACCAGCTGCAGTTTTTTGGTGATTTCTTGCACTTTTGTTCATCTATTTTGATTCTAGTGCCTTCGTAGTGTTGTTAAGGGCTATACATCATTGTGGTGTTGTTATATTGTGCATTTGTACTCTCAATTTGGTGGTAGTGGAGTTGGTTGGACCGAAGGGTCTCGTGGTTTTTTACTCTTTCACATTGAAAGGGTTTTCCACTTTAAAATCTCGTGCCTCATATCGTTTTATTTTCGTATTTGGATTATCTTGTTGCTTGGTGTTCTTTGGTGTGTTTGTTTGTTGCTCCTCATAGATTCATTCAAGAGGGAAAGGTGTTGATCTTGGGCACTACACATTCATTTGTGTTCTTGCTTTCCCAACAAGTGGTATCGGAGCGCCGGAGTAATCTATTATTTGTCTTGATTGAATGATGGAGCCAAATTACAGCAGGATGATCAGTTTGAATGACACAAATTATCACAAATGGAAGGGTAAAATGAAGGATTTACTCTTTGTGAAAAAACTGCATCTACCAGTGTTTGTTACTCAGAAGCCAGAGTCAAAAAGTGATGAAGAGTGGGCTTTTGAACATGAAATGGTTTGTGGTTTCATTCGTCAGTGGGTAGATGATAATGTTCTGAATCACATCTACAATGAATCTCATGCTAGATCTTTGTGGGACAAGCTTGAATCCTTGTATGCATCAAAAATAGGGAATAACAAGCTATATTTGCTTAGGCAAGCTATGAATCTGAGATTCAAGGAAGGTTCTTCTATTTCTGACCACTTGAATGAATTTCAAGGGTGTTTTGATCAGTTGTCAGACATGGGCGTAAAGTTCGAGGATGAGATTTTGGGACTTTGGTTGCTGAATACTTTGCCTGATTCTTGGGAAAATCTTTGCGTGTCTTTGATTAGTTCTGCTCTCGGTGGTTCAGTAACTATGGAATATGTCAAAGCTGCCGTTCTGAATGAAGAAGTGAGACGCAGAACTCATGAGACATCTACTTCAAAATCTGATGTCTTGGTTACTGAAAATAGGGGGAGAAGCAAAGACAGAGATCATGGAGAATTCAAAAGGGGCAAGAGCAGGAGCAAGTCCAGGTCAAAATACAAAAATGTTGAGTGTCATTATTGTCATAAAAAGGGGCACTTAATGAAAAACTGCTTCAAGCTGAAGAACAAAGACAAGAATAAGCCAGAAGGGAAAGATGGTGAAAATGATCGTCATGTTGCTACCACGACTTCGGGTGATCTGATAGTTGTTTCTGATAACGACTTGATTAATGTTGCCTCTGATGAATCAAGTTGGGTTATCGATAGTGGTGCCGCTTTCCATGTGACGTCAAGGAAAGATTTCTTCACATCTTATACTCCAGGTGATTATGGGGTATTGAAGNAGAACCCTTAGTGAGTTTGCATTGCCCATCACCAAAGGTACTCATATAACCTTCATCATCCAAGACACTAGTAGATATCAAATTCAAGCGAATATCTGGTGCATGTCGGACATTCTTCAACACTAACTTCATCCCAGTTCTGGTTTCCAGGACAACAACACCAATGCCAACAACCTGTGAACGACCATCATTACCCATCTTCAATACCCCATAATCACCTGGAGTATAAGATGTGAAGAAATCTTTCCTTGACGTCACATGGAAAGCGGCACCACTATCAATAACCCAACTTGATTCATCAGAGGCAACATTAATCAAGTCGTTATCAGAAACAACTATCAGATCACCCGAAGTCGTGGTAGCAACATGACGATCATTTTCACCATCTTTCCCTTCTGGCTTATTCTTGTCTTTGTTCTTCAGCTTGAAGCAGTTTTTCATTAAGTGCCCCTTTTTATGACAATAATGACACTCAACATTTTTGTATTTTGACCTGGACTTGCTCCTGCTCTTGCCCCTTTTGAATTCTCCATGATCTCTGTCTTTGCTTCTCCCCCTATTTTCAGTAACCAAGACATCAGATTTTGAAGTAGATGTCTCATGAGTTCTGCGTCTCACTTCTTCATTCAGAACGGCAGCTTTGACATATTCCATAGTTACTGAACCACCGAGAGCAGAACTAATCAAAGACACGCAAAGATTTTCCCAAGAATCAGGCAAAGTATTCAGCAACCAAAGTCCCAAAATCTCATCCTCGAACTTTACGCCCATGTCTGACAACTGATCAAAACACCCTTGAAATTCATTCAAGTGGTCAGAAATAGAAGAACCTTCCTTGAATCTCAGATTCATAGCTTGCCTAAGCAAATATAGCTTGTTATTCCCTATTTTTGATGCATACAAGGATTCAAGCTTGTCCCACAAAGATCTAGCATGAGATTCATTGTAGATGTGATTCAGAACATTATCATCTACCCACTGACGAATGAAACCACAAACCATTTCATGTTCAAAAGCCCACTCTTCATCACTTTTTGACTCTGGCTTCTGAGTAACAAACACTGGTAGATGCAGTTTTTTCACAAAGAGTAAATCCTTCATTTTACCCTTCCATTTGTGATAATTTGTGTCATTCAAACTGATCATCCTGCTGTAATTTGGCTCCATCATTCAATCAAGACAAATAATAGATTACTCCGGCGCTCCGATACCACTTGTTGGGAAAGCAAGAACACAAATGAATGTGTAGTGCCCAAGATCAACACCTTTCCCTCTTGAATGAATCTATGAGGAGCAACAAACAAACACACCAAAGAACACCAAGCAACAAGATAATCCAAATACGAAAATAAAACGATATGAGGCACGAGATTTTAAAGTGGAAAACCCTTTCAATGTGAAAGAGTAAAAAACCACGAGACCCTTCGGTCCAACCAACTCCACTACCACCAAATTGAGAGTACAAATGCACAATATAACAACACCACAATGATGTATAGCCCTTAACAACACTACGAAGGCACTAGAATCAAAATAGATGAACAAAAGTGCAAGAAATCACCAAAAAACTGCAGCTGGTGCGAAGCTCATAACTTGAGATTGAACTGTTGAAATTCGATCTCCACCGTTCAGATTGAAGCTCCACGAGTCCTTAGACTCCTCCTAAAATTTCAGCTCGATCGGACAAGATTTGGACCTCGATCGTAAAGAAAACCAGGTCTGCATTTTTCTGAAAATGGCAGCGGCTATCTCCCTTCTTGCGGCTGTTTTTTCTCCTCTTTTTTATGCGTGAGTGGTGTGTAATATATGCAGCTGCCAAACTTTTACTCTCAATATATGTGGACAAAAATGAATTGAGGACTTATCCTCCAAAAATATTTGGGCCTTTAAATTAAAGATGACACATAGTTGGGAGCCCAAACCCAACAGTTGGTGTACCCCTGCCCTTCAAAATATTGATGATCACTATTATAAATTTATAATTGCTTAGAGTTAAGAAATGCATGAACTCAACAACCATCACCAAAACCATGGGGAGAGGGCCCCACACAGCCATTATTGAGATCTGTCTCCAAGCTCTAATAAACGTGACCAGCCCACATTCTATGGTCCTATATAAATGGGCATCACTCCTTTTTCCACACACTCAACCAAACTTTTCCTTGTACAGATCTCTGAAAAAAAAGGAAAAAGAAAAATGGGTTCAAAGGCTCTTCTTCTTTGCATTTCTTTGGCTGTTTTTCTCCTGGTTGGTTCTGAGGTTACCGCCAGGGAATTGGCTGAGACCACTTCTGAAGCTTCATTTGGCAGTAAGTTTTCATAGATCTTCTAAGACTTCATTTACATGGTTAAATTTATCTCACTTTTTTTTTACTTAAATTTACTACTCATTTCATAAAATGATATAGTCTTGTCACACTTCTTGTTTTGTAAAACTTTTCATGTAATTTTTAGTATATATACATTTTATTTTTAAATTTATACTTAAAATCAAATAAATTAAATTGAAAATAAAGTCGGTACAAAGTTGAGAAATAAATTAGATTGAGAAAATTTTATTTTCAATCTAATTTATATAGTACGGAGTACTTGTTTAGGGTACAAGGTTTTTCATCAGCATTTGAATATGTTTGAGTATATATATGTAATAATTGGGGTACGGATGGAGTATTATAATTTAGAATATGTTTAAATATATTTTTTCACAACCTACTAAAAAAATAAAAATAATAAATAAAAATCCGTCTTCTTTGAATTTTAAACCCGTGACCTCTCATTTGGGACAATGACGATGATGCTGCCGTTGGACCACAGGGTCTTTGGCCACAAACACTACGTATTTAGCAGCAGGAGCAATTTACAATTTTTATCTTATATATTTTCATTGATGATTTAATAGGATAAATAGTCAAATTATATTCTACTTTTTTTGGATTTTTATTTAATTTTCAAATAAACATAGTTTTGTTTTTAATTTTACAACATTCGTTAAATAAATTAAATTAAAAATAAAATTAGTCAAATTCTACAAAACCCTTGTACAGGAATGTACTGAATAACATAGAGAATACAAAGTACTTCATACTTGGCATTTCAATGATTGATTTACCCATTACGCCTGGAAGTAATTGTGAACTTTTCTAAAATGATATGGAGTAATACAATTCTTGAAATGAGCTTGTGTGATGAAAATATTGATGTGCTCTTTAGGGATATGTTTGATAATTCACACTCATTTGTCTAGTAAATATGATAAATGTTTGAAAAATACCAAAAACTCCAAAGAAGAAAAATAGAAGTGGATAATTAATTCCTAATGGAGGGAGAATTTTTGTTTAATTTATGTATAGTATTTACACATATATAAAATTGTTTATAAGATCATATTTAATATTAAAAAAATATGTGATTAAAAATGGCTTATTTTATTCAAATTCGTCTTTGTTATGGGAAGGGTTAAATTTGAAAAATGACTCTTTTAAGGGATGATGTTTCAATTTTTCTGTGTCAAAATTTGGAAGCACTAAAAATGTGCCAACTTTATTTTTATTTTTCCAATCTTGACTAGCGGAAAGCTATGGCCATTCTTGGGGACATAAAGGTGGTCACAATGGTGGGCATTGGGGTGGACATAAAGGTGGTCACAATGGTGGGCATTGGGGTGGCCACGGAGGTGGCAGTCATGGCCACGGCCACCGCAAGCCCGGTCCCAGTGGAAGCTGCGGCAATGCTGGTTGCTGTGGTGGCGCGAATAGTCACGGAGTGTGCAAATGGTGTTGCGCGGACAAGGGGGAGACCGCCGAGCCTTAAGCCAGCTCCAACTAAGCTTCACAACTAAATCCATGGCGTGTGTAGTGTTTTCATTTTGATTCTGAGCTGTATGTGGGGTTTTAAAGTACTCGAAATGGGCAATCTGGAATAAAAATGTAGTGTAAATCACGTTGTAGTTACTTCTTCTGCAATGTGTTTGTGTTAAATAAAAGTAGTTGAAGGGTCTCTTGTTTTTGGGTGGTTGTCAAGGGTCTTAATCTCACATGACATGAATAAATTTAGTTGACTTTGAAGTCAAATTGACTCCAAAGTCGACTAAATTTAAGGGGTGCAATTGAAGACGGTGAGAATAAGTATTATATTATTCACTCATAAACGGGACTCGATTCAACATTTACCACATTACCTATTCTTTGTCGCAATCAAAGCATACACTTTGAGTGTGATCGATGATACAAGAATGCATTTGTGCTATTGCGCGCAAAAGAATGAGGTTACATTCATTGACAACAAGGAGCATAATCGCAAATCATCGTATGCGCTCCAACACCCGCTGCAGCGCCATTTTGATACCCTCTTGATTTAGGGACGTTGTAAGCTGTATTTCTTGCACCTGTCATACGCATGAAACATATCACAAGGGATTTGACATTTAAGGGGAGGTTTTCCTTTGGGTGGGTGGGGGGGGTGCATACCTGTCTTCCAGCCCGGGCAAGCATAGTGAATTTTTCTCCAACTTGTGGTTCCTGTGGAATTTCATCATTGAAAGAAAAAACAACGGACCGTGGAAACGAACTCTAGAAATGGAAGAAACGTACATTAGAAATCCAGAGCTGCAGGCCTTGTGAAACGACGCGTTTCTCAACCCCTTGACGGCAAAGTTTTATATCGTGGATACTGTGAACAGAATAACAGATCATTATGGAAATAGGTCTGCGTACACACACCCTCCCCAGACCCTACTGTAGTGGGATTCAACTGGGTTGTTGTTGTTGTTGTTGGGCATATGCACATGACTAGATCATTCATCATTGCTTACCTTGTGAGGGACATTTATTATATTTATAAATGCAATACACGAATAATGTCTGTGACAACTGTACTTTTTCAACATCTGAATTTCTTGATATTCAAGGACTACAAAGGGGTGTTTGGCAAAGAGCTTTTTCTGGGTGGGGTGGGGGTGCTATAAAGGACATCTATTGGAGGTGTTTGGTTAAAACTTTGTAGTAAAGAAAGCTACTTCACCCAAAAAAAGATGTTTTAAAAGGTTTTTGAGATACTGTTTAGAGCAGGTGTTTTCAAGCTTGGTTTACAAAAATATTGTTTTAATTCTTTTTAGAACAGCTATCCAAATTCCAAACACATAAATAGCTAAAGATATCAAATACACTTGCATATTATAAATATCAATACTCCCTGTCCCCAAAAGAAGTTCACTCTCTTTTTTTGTTTGTCCCAAAATAAAATTCACACTTCTCTCCTTTCGTTTTAAGGATATGAATATGTTGTTTAAAATATTTCTCTTTTTAAAAAAATTCCAACCATTAACTTTTACTTTCCTTAAATAGTGAAGTCAGACCATGAATTTCTTTTGGAGACAGGGAGAAAATATATCACTACATGATATGCTGGAAGTCCCAAATCCCAATTACAAAAACAAAAGTTCAAACATTCAACCAATAGTAAAAGTTAATGTACATACCCATCTTCTTGCATGAGCTCTTCAATGATTGTTCCAATCCCGGGAAGCGGTTCAATATGAACACTATCCTTTGGACTCAAGGTGCTGGGATACAGCGAAGAATCCTGTGAAGATCTGAAAGATTACTCACCATCATGATCAATCGCAACAACACACAAATACATCTGACAAGAAAACATTTAAAAAAATCATTACGAGAAAAACACATGAAGAAAGTTGTTAGCCTCGCACCTGGGGAATTACTTTGTCTAGTGTTTCAAGCAACGGATCATCCTCTAATTGTTTAATGGAAAGGGAAATCCTTGATTTTTCACTGGACATATTTTTATATATTGTCAGCCAAAAAAGATGGAATTTGAGATTGAGATGAACATAAAGTATATTAGTACTGTTAATCACCTATCTATCTTAATAACTTTGACCCTCACTACATCACCCTTTGTTAAAACATCTCTTGCATCATGAATGGTATCCCATGACACTTCCGAGGCATGAACAAAGCCAGCAAGATGGTAGAACCCTGGACCAGAGTTTATAATACTTTCTAATTAGGTAATGAGAAACCTCTCTTACTTGAAGAAAGTCGGTAATTAAATTCCTAGAAGAAACAATCAATGCACACACTTTCAAAAGAGCCCTTTGTGATCCCTTTACTTAAATACCATAACTGTAGAAGAAGGTTTATGAAGCCCTTTATTGAAAAGGAGAGAAATACAACCTGATCTGTGAAATGTCAGAAAAAGATGATACTCTGTTTATTTCTATGTTCCTATGTATCTGTCTAGAGTGGCCACTTTTCTTTTAATCTGCCATTTATAAAACCTATGCACATTAACAATCTTCCCCAATATACAATTTATTTTACCCGTTTGTAGTATTTTAGACGATTCTCTATACTTTATGATCAATTTATCATCCCAATACATTTTCTTAAACTATTTTATTTGGTTGAGCTAGAAAGATTAATAGAAACAGAGGGACTATCAATGAAGGGAGAAATTAAATGATCATGAGTTAGTGGAGTATGCTTCAAGATTCATACCATCAGGAAATCTTAGGCCAACTAAAGCACCAAAATCCTCAACAAAGCGCACTCTTCCTTCAAAAATAGCACCTATTTTTATTTGACTAGAAAACTTTGCCCACATTGCTTCCTTTTCAGAAAATATCAACTTCCCCAGCTCTTCACTAACTTGGATTGCCTGATAGCAAATTGCAATGTGGATTGTGAGTCAATAGTAAATTAGTAATAGAATGGTTTAAAACTTAAAATCAGCTCAAGAACACTAAAATGAACTGTCTGCTATTGGAGGAATTCACAGAAACCACATTCACAGGGATAGGGCAACCATGAGTCTCTGATATACTTGCAAGTTTTTCTAGAAATAGCCAAATCTAAAAGGCTTGTTTTTTCATTCATGGCCTAACTCTAAACAGCTATTCTTTCTTGTCATGATTTTATCTTTCCTAACAATCCCTCTGTTCCTTTTTATTTGTCATGTTTCAGTTTACGATGTTTGACTAAATTTATTTTCATTTCAATTTATTTAATATCGGTGTAAAAGTTAAAAAATAAAATTGAAAATTTTAAAATTACAAAAAAATGATATAAAACGAGGAGTCCCTTGACTATTTTTTTGTACCAAATCCCATGTCCCTTTTAATTGTTCGCTTCAAAATTCACAGGTCAAACTATATTCTCTTCATAAAATCTTGGGACAAAGGGAGTATATAATATAAAATTGTCTTTCCTTTTCAAGATTTAAATCAAATATGGGTCGACTCGGGACTGCCATGGTTTAGATTAGCCGTCATCTTCTAGACTAGTTGATAGCCAAACAACGATCAGATGGAAGGTGAGAGGGGCGACTGGCTGAGGCAGCAAATGAGACGAGAAAGGTGACTGCCTTAGGGATGTGGCCTCGCTTGGCTCCCTTGTGGCGTTGAGTGCTCGCCCGGGTGCCTTAGGTGAGAGAGGTGAACGCCTTTCAAAACTATGCATAAGAAGCAACATCTATGCAAGCCCTAAAACTACTAAGCACGTGAAAATGAGATGGAAGGGCTAGCCCAACCTCTGAAAATGGAGCGAAAAGTCTAAACAACAACCTACTAAATATGGCAAGTCAACTTGAACATCACTATGGAAAATGAAGATGGGCTAAGAGTTGATCCTCGATGCAACCCCACCAATATAACGAACTGTTCAGAGTCCCCTCTCATTGATGTAACTCAAGTTACTCATGTCTTGATGTCCTCATACATGTCCTTATTTCCTCTAATGTAGGCTACACCCACAACCCTCCATTCCAAACATCTCCAAAGGGACTTCCCTTTGGAGTTCTTAATACTCTATCCGAAGGTCAATGAACACCGTGTAAGTCCTTTTTTCTTGTCACAATATTGCTATATTAGCCTCTTAACAAGATGAATAACTTCTATAGTTGAAAGGCTTAACATAAATCCAAATTGGTTCACAGATTATCGACACATTCCTCCTCAATGTTTTGCCAACCACACTCTCTTACACTTTTCTAGTGTGACTTACTAGTTTGGCACCCCTATAATTGTTGCAGTTTTGAACATTACCCATTTTCTTATACAACAGGACCATTGTAAAACACCTCCACTCCTCTGGGAACCTCGTCATTCTGAAAATGACATTGAACATTATCCTTAATCACTTGATTCTTCTCTCCCCTATATCCTTCCAAAGATCTGTTATGATCTCATATGCCCGGTCTCTCTTCCCTTCCCCGTGGTACGAAATGCCCCCTAACCTCTAAGTCTTTATACACCTACAATAACAAAAATCTCTATGACTTCTGAACAACGCCAGTTCCTCGAGCAAAATATCCTTATCATTCAATGAAGAGCTTATGAAACTATGTCTTCCATTTGCGTCTAATACAAACATTAAACCATTTTCATTCCTCATGGATTTCATTTGGTCCACACCACGGGAATTTTTCTCTTTTGTTTTGGAAAGCCTATACAACTCTCTACTTCCCCCTTCATTAAAGCTTTTCATACAACTGCTCAAAGGCAACTATTCTGGTCATCAAGACCACTAGCTTTGCTTTTCTCTTACATTCCTTGGGTTTCTTATTTTCTCCCCTAATCCTCTTCGTTTACGCAATCCACCAATGACTCATGCGTGACCTTCTTAGCTTTCACTTTTTCTTGCACCTCTTTTTTCCATCACCACTCATCCATTCCCACACATCTACCAGACTTGCCCCCTCAAACCAATTAAGACCTCTCTAGAAGCTTCCTTGATGTACTGAGCTATAAGGTTTCTTACATTATCAGTGTCTCCGCTACTCCTTTATACCACATATACACCAACTTTTCATTCTATTTTTTCTTCATTAACTTATTCTTTAACTTCAAGACTAAAAGCTTGTGTTGGGTTAAAAGATCCTCACTCAAGATAACCATGATGCCCCCTTTGCAAAAAACGGCTATCTCCTTTCTTAAGGCTATCTCAATCTTAGCCACCGCACTATGAAAAGTCCAAATGCTCCCCCCTCTTATGAAAGCTTGAGTTAATTATAACTAACTCCAAAGCATTTGTAAAGCCATAGGCACAAAGACATACAGGAAGGTAAAGACTAAAATAAATACAGTACATGATGATCTTAAATTTCCTTGACTAGTATAATATGTCAGTGGTGTGTTTAAGACAAAAATATAATGGAAATTTGAGATCATTATGTGTTGTATATAATTTAGCCTTTACCAACAAAAAGAATGGCAAACCTTCACAGGGAGGATGCAACCAACCAAGCTGCTTGCGATCTCTTGGATATTTTTGTTTGGCTCTACAATACAAAGAAAAAGTTGACCAACTTAGTGCTTCCACAACTTAGCATTAGCTTCTCAACAAATACAATAAGATAAAAATCCAAAACTGATGAAAAACTTTTGCAAAATGATACAGTATATTATAATCCTAGCCCATGAAATGTCAACTTAATTTTTTCTTAACATTATGAAAGGTGCCTTGACAAAACAACAACAACCCAGATGAATCCCACTACAGTACGGTCTGGGAAGGGTGTGTGTACGCAGATCTTGCCCCTACTCGTAAGTAGGGAGGCTGTTTCCAAAAGACCCCCGACTCCAACTGCACAAAAAAATAATAAGAATCACAGTATAACACAGATAAAGCACCAAGTACAATGGAATGAAAGTCCTGCAAGCAATAGCAAAAATTTCCAACCGAACAAAAACACACTATAAAAAACCTCTGAAACACCGGGCCCCTATCCAGCTACTCTAATCCTAGTTCTCCAAAGGTTCCTATCTAAAGCCATATCCTCAGTCAGAGTGAGAAGTCCTAAATCCTGCCTAATTACCTCCTTCCAATTCTTCCTAGATCTACCCCTTACCCTACTTCCCCCGACAACCGTAATCCTCTCGCATCTCCGTGCAGCAGCATTCCGCCGTCTCACATGACCAAACCATCTCAACCTCGCTTCCCGCAACTTATCTTCCACCGGCATCATGCCTAACTGACGTCGGATAACTTCGTTCGAAATCCTATCCAACCTTGTCTTCTCACACATCCATCGTAACATCCGCATCTCCGCCGCATGCAGATGACGCACATGAGTCTTCTTAACCGCCCAACACTCTACCCCATATAACATAGCAGGTCTGACTACGGACCGATAGAACTTACCTTTCATCCTGGGCGAAATCTTCGGATCACACAACACCCCTGAAGCCAACCGCCATTTGGCAGCCACTCCAACACGATGTCCAACATTCCCATCTAACTGCCCATCAGCCTGAATTACCGAGCCAAGATATCGAAACTTGTCTACCTTAGGCACTAGGTGAGAGTCAATCCTAACTTCCACTTCTGATTCCGTTTCCCGACCGCTGAAACGACATTCCATGTATTCAGTCTTGTTCCTACTTATTCTGAATCCTTTGGTCTCAAGGGCAAGGTGCCATAGTTCCAACTTATCGTTTAGTCTCTCACACGTGTCGTCGATAAGCACAATATCATCCGCAGAAAGCATGCACCATGGGACCCCTTCTTGAACACCTTGTGTCAGGACGTCCATCACCAAGGCGAACAAAAAAGGGCTAAGGGCAGGCCCTGGTGCAACCCCATCCCTACAGCGAATGACTCAGAGTCACCCCCGGAGTTCCTTACCCTAGTCCTAGCCCCACCGTACATATCCTTGATCGCGCGAGGGTACGCGATGGGAACTCCTCTCGACTCAAGGCACCTCCATAAAACCTCCCTTGGCGCACCCTATCATACGCCTTCTCAAGATCAATAAACACCATATGAAGGTCCTTCCTAGTCCTATACTCTTCCATTAACCTCCGCACGAGGTGAATGGCCTCTGTAGTCGATCTGCCAGGCATGAAACCAAACTACTTCTCAGAAATGCATACCCCTATGAAAGGTGCTTTGACACTATCAGATATGAAGTAGAAGGCACACACACACATAAAATTGAACCCCAAGATTTAGTAGCATTCTTGTATACTCCGTAGTAACTCATATTTCATTTTCTTTCCATAAGCATAACACAAATGAGAAAAATGACTGAGAAACCAATAATTGACCTTGCATGTATAGTATAGAACCACCATAAAAATTCACATCCATTATTCGGATTGATTTAGATTAGAAGACACCTTTGGATCATAAAACACATGAGATTGTTCCTAACAAAGAATCAAACTACAAGTGAAAAGTACACTTAAAATTTTCAACTTCATAGAATATTCTGCATCGTGCACACATGAAAAATTTAAGGCATTCACCCTCATGGTGCCTAAAAAAACAATTTCTTCAATAGAATGTTGGGGGCGGGGTAAGGATAGGGCAAACTCCATTGATAGCCTACATAGAAAGAGTTGCACCTGTGATGCAAACCTAGAAAGACTTGATCTTTTCAACATCTATGTAATTAAGTTGGCAATCATATCTACTATTGATGAATGTAAAGCCTATTTAATTATTTTAATATGCTCAAATAGTCTTGGTGAGCAATAAATAGAGTCCCAATCTATTACTTTATTGATTCAATGAATATGAATTAAAATGTAGTACCAATTCTAATAGGAAATTGTTAATAATTATAAGAAACTAATACATAGACTATCTACAGTGGGGCGTGAGGAGGGGCTTGACCACCCTCACTCACGCCCCTTTTCCATTACACATCCAAAGTGACAGGTCTTGGCCCTTGGGAAAGTGATGGCCCTCACGCCAAATGCCCCCCTTCCTTTTTCTTTTTTATTTTTTTTCAATATTTCCAACCAATCAAAATTTAACACACATATCCCTCGACCAATTAAAAAATTTTACACATCCACTCTATCACTTGGTGATCAAGCCCCCCCCCCATAACACATATTTTTACTCACACACCTACGTGGCACACCATCAAGCCCCGCCATTACACATAGCCTTATACAACGAAGATTGCTATCCTTATCTCATTCGCACGCTTGTCCATAAATTTGTACTCCCTCTGTCCCAAATTAAATTGCATGTTTACTATTCACATGGTCAAACTTCAATCACTTTCTTTTCCTATATTCCTTAGTTATTTGATAAAATAATAGTCATGTCACCACTAGTTTTGTAGATCTTTTGATGTAATTTTTAAATATATAATTCTTATTTTTTAATTCTACATCGCTTTTCATATAAAATGATTTAAAAATAACTTCACTCAAACATCGTAAACCAAAACAAGCAATTTAAATTGGGACAGAGGGATTATCATAGAAGCAAGTTTAAATGTTGAAAACTAAATAGAAGCTTAGAATTATTCCATTTGAAGTGTTAAAAATGTAGCTTTTATACCTTTACACTGATGTGAGGGGCTCAACTCTGAGAAGGGGAGAAACCCCACAAGGGAATTGAACCGGATGCGTAGACCACCTTTAACAAATCCTTCCACCTTGCCTTCATAAATCAACCCTCTTTCAAAGTGAATTGTTGCCTCTTTCCAATCAGCAGACCTCTACTTCTTTGTGATACCAAATTGTTAGATGCCCCAAAATATATCAAATGCAAGAAATAGTGGCATAGTGAAATAATTTAATGTTCCAACATCTAATTTTTTCCATTTCATGATCCAAACAATGAGCTGCTTAATTAGTGAGCACTTTGGATATGGCCAAGAAAATAATATTTGAAAGCATACAGAGAGATGCTAAAGAACTCAAACTGCTGCCATATCATCTAAGGTTATTTACAGAGCAGAAGGTTAAATACAGATTGAATTTCTTTACACCTTCGATTCATCCCATACACACAATATAGTTAATATGAAATAGTCTTGTTTTTATTATAATCCAATTTTTTCGTATAAGCCTTTTTATATAATCTTGTTTATTATACAATAGGTTGCTTACCAGCTTTTTTGGTCAAATCCTACCCCCTAAAACCCCTTCCCAAGAGCCCTAATTGGCTAATTCTTGAGCCAAGTAGTAATCATGTATGCAGCAGAGTAATCCTGTATTTCATATTTATATCGGCCTAATTCTTGAGCTCTAACTGGCTAAGAGAAAACATTAACAACAAAAATAATCCAGAAACATGCACATCGATAATCGAAACAAAAAAAACATGGATTAATAAACAAGCAATAAATAAGAGTAGTAGAACCCCACCCTGGTTGACCTGATTTCATCCCGAGGCCGCTGATCAACCCCATCAGCACTAGAGCCACTCACACCTGAAACAGAGACTTTGGGGGCGAGAAGAGAAGCCTTCCTGAGAGATGAACAGCGAGAAAAACGATGAGTGTTCTTCGGAGGAAGACCACAAATTGATTGAGAAATGGACAGAGGAGCGGCGGGGCTGTCGGTAGTGGAGAGCTGCGGAAGAAAAGCCTGGCCTCCTGCGAGTAGTGAAGTGAAAACCGCCATATCCTCTCGGAGAAAAACTTCTTCCAGAAGACGAATGTGTGGATTTGCTGATTGATTTTAGAAAAATGCCACCATATCCCATATGTACCCCACCCCCTCCTTGTCCACTAAAAAAACAAAAAAAATTAAAAAAAATAAGTAAACAAAAATCAAATAAAAATGTGTGGTGGAGAATGAGGTGGTGTACATCTAGCATTGCTCTTGATTTTATCTGATACTCTGTATTTTCTACGGCCATCCGAAATAACTGATATCTGATTGGATATGAACTTATACAACTACCAGCAAGGTGTAGTGTATTTTGTAAGAGGAATGGTAGGGTACACCATTTGGTATATCCCATTTGTCCCCCACCCATTTTTCCACCATACAATTTTATTTTGGGATATGCTAGGGGTACACCAAAAGGTATACCCCAAATATACACCACCCCTCTCTTTACCATTCATTTTATTTTTTTTAACTTTTATTTTTTTTTAATTTTTCTTACTTTTTTTTGTGGTGATAGAGGGGGTGGGAGATGTTCGGGGTACACTTTTGGTATACCCCTAGCATTTTCCTTTTATTTTTTTATTTATTTAATTTTTTTTTATTTTCTTGCCCTTTTTTGTGGTGATGGAGGGGGTGGGGGACAAATGGGTAGCATTTTTCAAATACCTTGGATTAAGCTACGTGTACCCAACATTTATACTCTAATTTGTACCCGTAGGTTTGCACCAACATTTTGTATTAGTGTAAAACTAATTTTTGTTAACGCACTAACATTTGTGTTCGTGTAAATTTTTGTTAACGCACCAACAATAGTGTCGGTATAAATCATCAAAATCTTTGTGCAAAACTGTGGTGTACAAGTGGGGTACATTTTTTGGTGTAAATGTAGCATGGTCCATATACCTTATATACAATTTAATGTTACCTTTTCAACACTCCAATGGATAGGGTAAACCAAGTGGTAAAATGCAATGTTGTTTAAAAAGCAACTTCTAAATTGTATTTTTGCCAGTTCACTATAGAGTGTGGAAAGAATAAAAAATTACTGTCTTTTCTTCACTTTTTTCTTGTCCTCTTCTCCATTTTCATGTATCTGAAGCTCATGCCATGGTCTTCATCTGATTTGCATCGTTGGAGTCTTCATCTTATTTACATTGCCAGTAGATAGATTTTCTATAGAGATAAAAATAGATTTTGGGTTGAAGATAGATTTGAGAGAAGGATCTATATCCGTCCATATTTGCTCTATTTTGCTCTTCTAATTTGTTTAATTTTTTTTCCCAGCAGTAGCATAAGAAATTGATTTGATTTAATTATATACAAAATAAATGTGATTATAATTAAACTATCAAATGTGCGGAGTATTTATTACGTCTTTTTACAAAAATTATTTAAAATAAGTAACCTAAAACAATAAAATATTATAAAAAGTGTATTATAAAGAAGATATGATTAGAGACCCTTGGAGTAAGTATAAAAAAATAGAAATGTAAAACACTATTGATGGTGTAAAATGAAACTTAAACTATCAATTTTTACACTATACCTTGAAAATGCTCTAATGGATCAAATCTGGTTCAAATAAGCGGTTAAAATGGTTACATGGAGTAATAATTTTATTAATTTTGTAACATTACCATAATCACTCTTAAAATTAGTAATTAATTCATCATCGTATAATAAATTCAATAACTTTTATTCTAGATTTATTTGCTTTAAAAACAAAAAAAAATCAATAACCAATCATTCACAACAATCATCATTAGAAAATATAGATGTTATTTCTAAAATGATAATATTTGTATAATTCGTACTAATCGTGTTAGAAATCATGATAACATAATCATCTATTTATAGATATTTCAAAAAATTAACCTTTTATATTTTTTTTAGAAATATATATGTAGTGCAAATTTTTTTGCTCCTTTATGAAAAAAATTAAGCACTCAAATTGACATTGTTGAAGTTATAGATTAGATTTTTCATATTACGCCCATTGATTGCACCATAAACAATTGATCCAAATGATTAATATTGCCAATTCACTTACTTCATCTCTTGCAAAAAGAATTTAACATTACGCAAAATGAAGCAAAATTTAAGGTGTTTCAATTCATTTCATTCAAAGATATAGAAATAAAAATTAAAACTTACATATTTAAAAAAATTATATCAAAAAATCTACAAAACAAAAAATTTTGTAATTTTTATTTCATTCAAAGATATAAGAATATTTTATTTTATCAAATAAATCAATGAAAACACACAAACAAACAAAAAATTTTGTGATTTTTAAATAATGAAGCGTGACATTTTTTTACCGGAGGGAGGATCAATATTTGGTACTTGGTAGATAACAAAACAAGTTAAACTCAACATTTCTTCAATCTAATTGTTTCAAATAGGGAGTACATAATATTAGTAAGATAATGATCATATCTACTAGTGCACTATTTAATACGCACAACACACATACACAATAAGATTGACAAACAAAGCAAAAAACTCAAGTAACATAACATATGTGTACATTTACAAAGTTCAACTAATGGTCAAAAGTACTTAAAAAACAATTGTTTCAATAATGATACTAACTTAGGATATATTCTAAAGCATACATGAAATCACGTCGATGATGTGAATGGAATTATGAAGAGAATCCCTCGAAAGAGAACTGAGAAGTGAAGAAGTTGAAGTCATGATGCCAGAAGTTTAGTTGCTTTAACCAAGAGTCGGCCGCGCTATAGAGATCGACTATTGTCTCATAGTCATCATATGTTAGTGAATCCATCCAAATGTCTTCCTCCAGTCTATAAGTGGCCAATCCAAAGGGATAAAGAGAATCCTCACTATTATCAAAATCGCCTCCCTCTTCATTCACCAAGTCATACATTTTGTTTTCATCCTCATCAGATTTAAAAACTGCTATTTATTTTGCAAGTGAAACTAATGAGAAAAGAGTAAATGGATCAATAGTCAAATGCACTTTAATGTATATATGAATATATGCATATGTATGTGTGCACACATATACTAACTGCAATACATACGAAGAAAATAAGCATAGAGACATAAAAACAAATACAACAACCTAGTTAATCCCACAAGAGTAGGGTCTGGAGAGGGTGTGTGCACGCAGACTTTACCCCTACTCGAAAGTGGAGAGACTATTTCCAAAGAGACCCCTAGCTCAACGTCGGAAGTTGCATTTATTGACTAACTGCTACTTGACTAATTAAAGAACCGCAAACAGTTTAAAGATCCATTTTGCTTTATTCCGTCACACCCCAAAGCCAAAAAATAGTGAATTTTTCGCTCCATCAAAGATGATGGAAAGACAAATACTGGCCATCAATTGATCTAATAAAATTTCTCAAAAATAATTGCAACATATTTATAATGCATATATATGCTTCATTTTAACAGAAAACATGGACGTGTATGTAATTATATCGATATTTCAAGTTACATATTCTTGATGCAATAGGTTTCCTGACTTGCACCAAACTAACTGTAAGCCTCTTATACCCCAATCCAAGAATGATAGAAGAGGTAAACCTAGAACTCTTTCATCCCTCAAGTTCCTACATAGTGTGTACATTACTGCACACAAGGAATCATCACATACTGATTGCACATTACTCAAAATTGATCTTTCAGGCGCCTCAAATTCTGAGTAGCTCCGAGATCCCTCACTACCACAAGTGAGACATCCACAATTGATCTAACCAAAGAGTTTGTATCAAGGTGCCAAACCATCCATCTTGCCTCCACGGTGAATTGAACCCGAGAAAACATTTATAGGAAGATTACTAAGGTTACCAACTTGTTCCAAAATGAAGACATAAATGAGCTTAATTAATTAAAACTGGGCAAACTGCTCATTTAATCCACTACCACAATTTTGTCTTCTAAAAGACCTACCCAACCCAAATCGAACCTCCACAAGATAGAATAAATAGAAACCTCAACCTCCACCTTGGACCTAATTATTAGTATACACTGCTTGCCTCTGCTTGTTTGAGCATATCCAACTTGAGCTTAGATTTTTCGGGAGCATTGGTACTAGTTAATGGTGTAAATTAGCTCATCAGGCTTAGTGGTATTTCTCTATGATTATATACTGATCAAAATTGCTTATAAGCAGTTTTTAACTTATAAGTCAGCTGACGACGTGTTTCTCTATGCTTATAAGCTGATTTATAAGCTACTTACAAGTCAGAAAAACCAAATAGGTCTTATTTACTTATTCTTAAGCCAGTTTCTTTGTTTATCTGTTTTGACCATATTATTTACAAAACTAACCCTTACCTTTTATGAATATCCCCAAATGACTTATCTATCATTTAATTAATTTATTTCCACGAAAGAATATTTAACTTATAAGCAACGTATAAGTAAAAAACTGTTTATAAGTAATAAGTCAATAAGCGCGAACATAGAGGAACACCCCCTTACTATTCTAGATCGGGTTAAGGATGACAAGGTAATTCGAGAGACTAATTATCAAAGTAAAACACACAAGTCACCAGAAAAGCTATAGTAGAGTATCGACAATGTTAAAGCTTAGAGCTTAAAAGACAATGCAGAAAATGAAATTTGAATCCCTTTAAAATGAGGATTTACGAGTATCTATAGATGAATAGTGAAACATCATTACATGTGACCTTACTGTAGCCATGTGATCAATGAGGATAAATCCCTTATATGATTGTGCCCTTGCACTTGGATTTTACTCCTTAAAACTTTGACTCTGACATCTTAGTGACCCCAAAGTGATGTCACACGTTATTTGTTTGATCTAGTTTTATAGCAGATGGGTCCCAGTTCAACTAGGCCCCTATGCTCTTATTCTCGGTTTAGTCTTGCAGGTTCATCATTGGCCAAGAATGACATTTGGTAAATAACTTGATTTGAATCCGTAAATCTAGACAGGTCAAGCTCCTGGAAGATGACTGGGCACAAAATCAATCACATTCCCAGTCATGATGACAATCAAAATGTTTCCTTGGAACATAAACATTGCATGGTCATCGTTTACCAAGATTCTTGG